CTGGCATTGCGCCGTATCCCGCAAGGGCTCCCGCCCTGCTCCGCCGGGGCTGGCCGCGACGTCGCCTGGCCTGGTCGTGCCCCCGCGCCGAACAGAGGGCCCCCACAACAATCGGGTCCGGGTGCACCCGCCACGGCCCAGACAGTAAGGTGAAAAGGGGTGAGGGGGGCGAGGGTTTTTCCGTAAATTTCACTTTACGACGCTCCTATTCGTCCGATTTGCATGACTGTCACGGCGTTGGATTCAGGAAGTATGTCGCCATCGCGCTATAAGCCCACATTTTTAAATTTTTTCTTGAAAGTTTGAGAATTCATTTCAAATTCAAGATTTTGCTAGATTTTTGGAAAAAACGACTTCGTAGCGTAAATTCTATTTTAAAAAGGCGTCAAATGCCGTTTCCAGATTGAAAATCGGACCATTGGTTCAGACGTTATCGGTAAAGTAAATTCCCCTGTGATAGTGCTGCGATCTATCGAATTTTCCTACAAGTATTTTTCGGTGCATTTAGCCTTAACGCATTCTTTCCTCTCAAAAAGAGAAAATTAAATATTTCCCGGAAAAATAATACTTGGATCACACAAAGTATAAGAACATCGTGTAAAAACAAACGTACGCTTTACTTTATTTCTAATCATCATTACGTATCACGTTTCTATGTCTGCTTACGAGAATACAAAAGCATCTTAAGAAAAATAATAATTCAGGCAAAAATAATGAAAAATACTCAGGATATTTTGAACGCTAGTAACAAAACTAAAGCAATGTGGAATATCGTAAAAAATACGACCACATCATCTCGTTACTTAGTAGAGAATTTTGTTTTAAAGGATAATGAAAGAGAAGCCAGTAATCCGTAAAAAGTGGCAAATCCCTTCAACCAACACTTTTCTAGATTTGCGGTTGAACTCACGAAGGGAATAAAACCGCAAAATTCAACATCATTACCTTCCCAAAAAAATGTTCGACACGATGTTTATTGCCGGAACTTGTTCTAACGAAATCTTACGTATAACTAAACTAAAAAATAATTATTCAGGTTTAGATGAATTCCCGGATGGTTTATTGAAAACTTGTGTACCTGCCATTATACACATGTTAACTCACATAATCAATGCGTCTTAATGCACAGGAATAATTCCAAAATTTTCAAAACAGCAAAAATTAGGCCACTTTTTAAAAAAGGAGGAAAAATAAAATTCAAAATTACCGACCAATTTCTCTTTTGTCAGGTTTCTCAAAAATATTAGTTTTTTCTATATAGGAATGGAAACTTCTCAGGAAAAACAAAGCGGTTTTAGAGTCAGAACACGGGTTTAGAAAATCAAAATCTACGGAAACTGCCATTTTTTCTTTTCTTAAAGATGTTGCTTCATCAATGGACCAAAATGAAGCACCCATTGGAATATTTTTAGATCTTTCGAAAGCTTTTGACGTTATTGACTAGGAATTTTATCACATCTTGCACATTATAACATCTTGCTATCAAAATTACCTACTTATGGAATTCGTGGTATCGCCCTAGATTGGATAACCTCGTACCTTAAACATCGATCTCAAAGAGTAGAAATACCGTACTGGCACGAAAGGACATATTTACTTATCTTTCCAATTCTTTACCATTTGAATATGGCGTCCCATAAGGCTCGATCTTAAGTCCTATCCTCTTTCTCTTATACGTAAACAATATGCCGTCGTCTATTAAAAACGGAAGAATGGTTCTGTTTGCCGATGAAACGAATGTTCTTTGCAAAAAAGAATAAATAGTACGATTTTAGAAGTTTGAAATTTGTTTTGTAATAACAAATTAATAGTTAATGAAGGAAAAACAGTTGCAATGCATTTTTGCATTTCAAATCAGCAATCACATGCTCCATTGAAAATGAATAACATGCAATTAGCTGATGTTCAGGTAACAAAATTTCTAGGTCTCTCAATTCAGTCAAGCCTCAAATGGAATGTACTTATAACAAAATTGAACACTAAATTAAGTTCGTTATGTTACGCATTCAGAATTCTTTCTAATTCTGTCAGCCTTCATGCAGCTCGTTGCGTGTATTTTGCAAATGTACATTCCCGATTGAGATATGGTATAAAATTCTTGTGAAACTCATAATGTAGTACTCAGACCTTAAGATTGCAAAAGAAAATTATTCGAATAATGAAAAAATGCCATCCGAGTGATCCCTGCAAGCCTCTCTTCATTGAGCTTGGAATCTTACCACTGCATTGCCTATTTAGTTACAAATCTGTAATATTTGTCAAAAGTGACTTAACGGCGGGAACATATTTTCATGCAATACTGATATTTATAATTACAACACACGTATAAACCACGTTCATCAAGTCTCGGTATCAACAGTCACTATCAAAAATCCACATACAATACATGTACGTTACTTTACAATACATTGCCAGATGGCATTAAACAATTGAAGTCGGTTCACAAATTTAAGTTAAAATTTAAAATATTTTCTGCTGCATTACTGTTTCTATACCATTAGAGACTACACTGATTATCAAAAAGATAAATAATGTTTATTTTAACAAAACGGTGAAATGTATTGAATTGGTTAACATTTGTATTGTATATTTTTTTAAAGACTTAATATGTTTGTAACAAATAATATACTTCAGCTTCCGCGTCAATGAACTCCATCTCGATCAGGTTTTTGTCCAGTTTCCCTGATCCATTGAGCAAATACTGAGATGGCCCCTTGTTTTGCTTCTGAACGTAAATGTTGCTTCACTATGCTCACGTTTTGTTGAACTCTCCTTTTGCTTGTAATGGTAAGAGTAGAGGTAAGGGCGAGTTACTATTTTGTTAGCAATGCAGGAAAATCATACTTGCAATTCGTATACCGATGGAAATAAGTTTTGTATAACTCGGAAACGAAAATGACTATTTTTCAAATATGTCTAATCTTGCGATTTTTAAAATTTATTTGTATTTGTTCATGTTAAACTTTTACTCATCTTTCAACTATTTATAGTTAAAACGACGGGAAGGGATTCTGGAACTCAAGAAAACGTGCGCAGATAATCTTCCCCCCCATACGTCACATACAGTTTTTACTGTTGCTTTTTTTTCTACTAAATAAATCTAAATCTAGATTTTGTCAGTCGGTGTCATGCGGAACTGTACCCACAATACGCGTGAAGTTCGTGTCTGGTTTGGTGTGCCTCAAGTACATTAATACACTATAGTTCTGTAGTTTTTGTAAAGTGAAATTCGCCACATGATCTGTAGAATTGCATCATTTCGATAAAATCCAAATCATCATTTTCCACCGAAAGTGTGCGAACGATAACTTCTGTTATGTTTGTGGAATATTTACACCCAAACTTCAAAGAAAAAACAATTATATGAAATTACAAAACGGCGTACTCGTACTTTGGCTGTCGTGTTTGTGATTAGGACAAACCATTGGCTGTTCACCACTGTTGTGTCATCTGTACAACGAACTTAACGTTGTGATTGTGGGGAAAAATCAAATCATTGTCATCCCCTCTACCAATGTTGTGGAGAATACCAACAAACCATTTTAATATCTGCGTGTTATTGCACGAATACTTGTTCTTACCTCGTATGAAGCATGCTGATGAAAGTCTGTAGTAATATAACCGGAGTGACAATGCGGAAATTAGTATAGGATTTTGTTTATTTCAAATATTTAGTATGTTTTTTAATATTAAATATATTAAGTATCTTAATATAAAATATTAAGTATCTTTTGAACCTTGCATGATAGAAACTTTATAATTATTTTCGAAATCAGTGTGATATTTTCCTTTTACTTCGCCTACTTTGATCCTGGAGGTATGAAAAAAAACAAAAAGTTTTTTTGTTCCCTAGTTATTTGAAGAATGCGGCGGAAATTGTCAAACAGTCGATTCCATACAATACCCTACATCGTCTCCTTACTCCACCGCAGTCGCCAGACCTGGACCCCATAAAAAACATCTGGAATGAACTCAAAAGAGATTGCATAAATGACATATCAGTTTAAAACTTTTCTGTGAGGTACTACAAGAACAATGGTAGAATATTGATTCAGATATCACAAAAAGGTTGTGTACTCCATGCCAAAGCGAATGAAAACTGTTCTTTAGAGGAAAGGAGCTATTACAAAATACTGAATACTGTCTGAATACTTTTATCCATTACATATTTCTTTTTTTATTTGTTGCAGGCAACATAAAAGCTGTTTTGTCAGCATTTGTTATGAGTGTTCAGTTGGACATTTTTTTCACATGCAAAAAGAATGAGATAAATATTTGGAGTTTCCAATGCAGTAAAGGCTTATTTCTATTATTTCCTCCCGTGTCTGAATACTTTTGTCCCCCTTTCTACATATTTGTGTTTTATAAGTGAAGAGGGTGATTCCAGCCACTCCACCCATTTATTAAGTTAATTGATTTAGATATAATTTGTAGCTGAGAGAATTTAATTATTTTTCAAGAAATAATTGTGCAACACTTCTATATTAATTAATTCTGGAACGAATATTAATAATCTAATACTTTTGCTTAACGTTTTAAACTAAATTATGTTACTGAAGTGCCTAATTTGAACTAACTCAGATTGAAGGAGGGAGTACAGAACACATTTTACCTTTTGTAAATTGCATTAAAGTGAAGTGTGCCAAAATTGTTTTATTAAATTCAAATTTAATTGCACTGAACTGTGTAGAAAAATTAACAATTTAGAAATGAGCGCATTAATTGAATGAATCGCTTCGTCTTAACAGTTACATTCAATTATTTTCTGCATCCTTCATTGAACTTTCAAACTTCCGCGCTTTGTAAATGCATTCTCTGTCATCTCATTATCAATAATCAAATATAATTTTTCGTGCCATTCAGAGGTTCAGAAAAAGGATACGGCAAAAAAGCGCTTTTCCATTAAATGTTGGATTCTGTAATTGAGATAAGAATATTTAATAAATGGATTAAACACTATTATTGCTGATATGTGGATTAATCTGGTGTTCTCTAACGGACACAGGTGTTTTGTGCCCGGAACTTAAGTTTTAATCTTATTTGTTTCATTTCAGAATTGTGCTGATTTGTTAGCATTTAGGAAAAAATGTATTCACTCGTTGATTTGCAAAAGTGAAGAAACAATGCTACTGATACTCAATAAATATTAATTTCGCACATCATTGACAGGATAAATGTTCGATTACAAGGATAGAATTACACTTTCGTTTGTTCATTATTTTCTGTTGTGTTGGTAATACAACATTTGTTTCAGTTTCCCCACATGGCTGAACATCATCTTCTGATTGGTTCATTTCAAGACCAGCGGAGATTTTAACGATTCTTTAGCAGTCATGTTTGCAGTTATTCCAAGTTTGCCTGGAGACGTGAAACAAACTTGACTTTTATTGCCTTCGTGTGGATAACTCATGCTGTGAAGTTTGGAGAAGATATCTGGAGTGTACATTGTATGCTCCACGATTTTGCTGAGAGCGTCTAGTCAAGTTTTCGTCGAATAACCGTTACTCGTAGTGAAAATGGCCACATTTCGTATTCTTGAAGATCAAGAAAATACCAATGCACATCTACGCCGACAGCAAAAAGAAGCCCAAGTCAATGTACAACAACAGAAGAGAAGTGTTTTAGGAATTTTAAACAATAATGTTTCTCGACCGGCTGGCCTGAAGCAGACGAAATCGGTGAGCTTCCTTCGATAAACGAACGCCCTTTTTTTAGAATATTTGTTTGAAATTTAAGTTTGTTTAATAATTGCATGGTTATAAGTGTGTTTAGATAACAAATTTCTGTTGTTCGGGTGCTAGTTTATGGTAGTTAAACAGTTACATTAGGAATGAAATATTTGCTTCTTGCTTTTAGGATCTGAATTTGTGTGCCAAAAACAAAAATGAAGTTGAGGTTAAGAGTTCATTCAGCATTTTTGTTGACGAGGAATCTCCAAAGCAAGAGAAGAAAGAAGTCAAGAAGGCAGATGCATCAAATACAGTATTTAGCCTTCCTGAGGCCATTGATCGGTTACCATTGCAAGTTGAACTCCTTTGCAATGACACACCACTTCATTCTCCTATGGCAGTTGACAAATCATCAGACTTTAAGAAGCCAATTAAGGATTCTGAAAATAAAACTTGGAATAAATTCATGGGTTTTTCAGAATACTTTGAGGACATTTACAAATATTTACGTCATGCTGAGGTGAGTTGGCGTTTTGGTGAATAAACTTTTCTTTTTTTACATTTCCTACTTCCATTTTTTTTTATTTTGAATGAAACGTTAGCATATTCATTCTATTTATTTACAAATGGTGTATGGTTTAATTTAAATAATGTTTTGTTAACATGCCAGACTAACTGCATAATTTAAAATTTTACAATTCAATATATTAATTCTATAACAATTGGAGCTTTTTTTTTTTTACATAAATTCAATTTATTTTCATTTTCATTACCTTTCATCTAGAAGTCTCCAAGAAAATTGTACTGAATAATTATTTTCTGTGATATTATACTTAATCAGACCTGAATGAAGAATTGATCATATACTTGGTGCTAATTTTACTAATTTGTGCTTCTTCTGTGTGGAATGAATTAGCCTGTCTTGCTGAGCACTAATGGAACATCACAATTTTTTAATTAGTAATATTCTGGGTTCAGCTTTAAATATCTTAATTTTTTTACTGTATATCAGATACTTTTCACTAGATCTTTCACTTAAAAGTAAATAAAGCTCAGAAGGATAATTATAAATAGTTGTCATTTTGATGAATGATGAGATTATGAATTTAACTTCTTGGCAACAACCAATTATCAAGATGTCAACCAAGACATTCATTAATTTAGTTTATGGAGTCTAAAACAGGGGCTTTTGATAGGTGGTATCTGTACTTACGGGAGTTCACCAGAGACATTTAGGAGATTTTAGCAATTTCTTGGTGTGATTTGTAGAAATAACACCTTCACTGAAAAGTTGATGCTATCTTCCATGTTCTTGAAACTAATTATCTATATATATTTATTTTATATGCTTAAAATGTGCAACAATTTAATCAGATAATCCTATTAAAAGTCTTGTGAAGAAATTTTTTTTGGGGGGGGGGGATTAAACAATAGTGTTGTGGAAAATCTTTTAAAAAATTGAAAACCTAAGACTTTTCATGAAATATTTGTAGACAAATGTACCATAGTGTTGACCATAATATAATTTCAACACAATTTCCTTCAAACTGGAAGAGCAATACGAAACCCAAAACCACTTCAATGTTTGATTTTTTTTTTTTTTTTTTTTTTTTTTTTTTTTTTTTTTTTTTTTTTTTTTTTTTTTGTAAGTGATTTTGTTCAATTGGGCAGTAATACTGTGGTATACTAAGTATACTTTTAATTTTTGTGAAAGTGTTCAGAGAGATACCTTTTAATATACTATTCATTAAAAATTGTATAGGATAGTTACAATATGTTGGGTTGCATTGATCAACATATCTACTTCAAAACTGTTTAACTATGTACGTTCTTTTTTATTGTATCGTCATAATTGTTATGGATCCTTAATATTGTTTGTCTTTAAATAATTGCCTTGCAGTAACTTGGGTATTGAAACACTACTTTTGTTCCAGAAACGGAGTCGGGCGAAAGCAAATTATATGAGGCAACAACCAGATGTGACGGCCAGTATGCGCAGCATTCTTGTGGATTGGCTGGTGGAAGTGGGAGAGGAGTACAAACTGCAAACAGAGACACTTTATTTGGCTGTGTCTTATATTGATCGCTTTCTCAGCTACATGTCTGTGCTTCGAGCAAAATTGCAGCTTGTGGGAACAGCTGCTATGTTCATTGCTGCGTGTGTACTCCCCAGTTTTTTAACATTGATTTATATATGTTAAAATTGTTTAATCTAAGATTTTGGTTGTTAAAAATATTAAGTCTAGTATATTTTACAATGGAGTAGCCATATTTATCAATATTTACCCTAATCTTTCACTACTGTTAATGTAGATTTTTGTGAAGTTTGATTTCAATATTCTTTACCTTTGGATTTTACAATTTGATTCTTTGGCATGTTGTAGATGATGGGTTCAGTACTGGAGCTAGATAAATTTGGGCTTGGGACAATGCTGAAACATAACTTTATTTTTCAGTTTAAGATGTAAAAAATTTAATAGTATAAATTAATTTCAAGAAAAATTTGCTGATTAGATTTAATATTAATGATTACATTGAGTGTTATAAAATGAATAAATAATTAACAAGTAATAGCATTACAAATTTTCTAGGGATTTTTTCTGTTATATTTATATCACCAGTTCCCTAGTCAAGATCTCCCAGGATTTAGTTGGTTCATCTGCTCTGTTTATGGAACAATTGAATAGTTGTAATTTATCAAGTCTCAGAATTAATTTTCTCAGACTCTCAGAAAATTATGAAACAGAGTAATTGTTAATTTCATAAATGAGAAAGGAATAATACGTGATTCAATATGCAATGCCGAAAGCGTTGTTCAGTGTTGGACTCTTTATTTATGCGAATTTGTGGCGGTTGAGAAACTAAGCAAAGGATTTATTTCATGAAATATAAAATGATATTGCTGAATTTCGGCCTGTTATCATCAAAGCAGTAATTAGTTTTTAAACGAGTTTTGGGGAGTAGTATTAAAGTAGTATTGTAGGTTAGCAGGGGTTTGAGGCTGGTAACCCCCCTTCTCCCCTCCTCAGTAGAGCACTGTTAAATTAGTTATGTAGTAATAGTTTTACAACTAAATTGTGTGTTTTGTGTAAAACAAATGTTTAAATGTACCATGTAAAAGTTTATTGACTTGTAATGCACATTCATTTATTCAGTGTAGAGAGCAGACTACTTCTGGTGAACAATATTTTTCATTTCAAGGAATGGGCACCGTAAACTTTTCGCTAGGGAACTGGTGGTATACATGTTACAGAAAAGATCCTCATAAAATTTGTAATGCTATTAATTGTTAATTATTTATTCATTTTATAAATTTAAATTAAATTTATTAATATTAATATATTTATTGTCTATGCTACTTCTTTAATAACATTATTTCCCTTCAACCCCAAGTTTAAGATCCTGGCTGTGCCCATGGATAGTACAGTAAAAAAGATAAAGACTAGGTTTTGTTGTGGAAGTTGTTTATTATGTCAATTTTTTCATTACTTATCAAAGAAATTTGAAGATTAAAAAATGTAATATTCAAAACAGTACAGCAGTTAATTACTGCTGGTCACAATGTAGATAACTTCTGTAAAATAGGCTTAGGAATAAAATCTTGGACAAAGAATTGATAGGGCTGCAAGAGTAATGAGAGACTTTTATCTGATATGTAAATTTTTGCAGGAAATATGAAGAAGTGTTCCCACCAGATGTCAATGAATTTGCATACATCACAGATGATACCTACACCAAGAAAACAGTGTTGCGCATGGAACAGATGATACTCAAAGTACTATCCTTTGATTTATCTGCACCAACAGTTTTGAGTTTCCTTAATATATACAGTGAGGGTCCTTTGAAATCTGGTTTTGAGGAAACTATGAGTGATCATGACAAAGAAACTATAATGTATCTAGCAATGGTTGGTTGATTTAATGTTTTTCTTATTCACTGTTAATAGGGAAAATTTTTTTTACCTTGAGTTCTTTGCTAGAAAGGTTTGGAATAGGTAGTATTTAACATTTATTTGAATTGTGTGAAAAGTGCTGATAATTAAAGATGTAAGATAGTTACTCCTAGTTTTGTTTTGACAATTACCTTAATCTGAAAGAAAATGTTAGTAAACTTCCAGGACCCAAACGTTTTTTATTTGCGATTAAAGTAGGATGACTGATCTCTGAAAAAACTAATCAGGAAAATTTAGGAAAATGGGAAAAAGTTAAAGAAAACACTATATTTTGGTAAATTTAAGGAACAGTTTGTTATATCTTAAATTGAGTAAAATGTATTATTAAAATCTTTGAAGTGCATTTACATGTCTAAGAGTGTGTAACAAGGAAGTCAGAGAAAGCAACTACTTTTTTGAAGGTCGTATGTTATCTAAAATATCCACAATGCCCAAATTTGCTTGTATTGATTATGGATTATCCTTGTATTGATTGACAATAAAATTACTTTGCTGTGTTCTAATAATTAATAACAATTTTTTTCACAATGAAGATCTCAAATAGTTTCTCTGATACCTGATAGCCAATTTTAAGAGAAAAAGGAAAACTTGTCAAATATAAGGGAAAGCTTATTCAATTGACCTACTTAAATAAGTCCTGTGATCGTCAATTAAAAAATCAGTACAATAAAAACATCAATTTCCTTTGTTTTAAATATTGTAGCCATTTGTAAATAAAATTGTTTATGCATCTTTTTGCTAGTTTGTCGTTCGCTCTTAATTTTTGCTCTGATTCTTAGTTTTGTTTCCACAGAATTGTCTACTATATTTCTACTGATTTCTGCAAAAAGAGAAAAATTTAATTTCAATTCTTTTGCAGTTTTTTAGTGAACTCTCTCTGGTGGATGGGGACCCATATCTGCAGTTTTTGCCTTCTGTAAGGGCAGCAGCTGCTATTGCTCTTGCACGGCATACATTGGAATGGAGACCTGTTTGGACTCCAGCTCTTGTGAAGGCTTCTGGATATCAGTTGTCGGAGTTGCTCTCCTGTATAAAATGCCTGCAAGCAACATTTGAA